GGTGTTGCTGTTGGTCTTGTTGCAATTGTTGCCGCATACTCTTTGTTGTCCTCGAAGAAGCCTAAAGGTTCGTTTTATTGAAGCTGATCTGTTGCAATTGAATGATGAATGTCCAAATTCATGTCTTTTTTGAAGGATTTAATTCTGTCTTTGGGTGAGTAAATTTTGTGGGTTTTCCTTGTAGCTTGCATTTAGCTTAAAAGGGAGTTATTTTATTGTTGTTGTTTCAATAATAGAGATCTCAGCTAATGTAAAGATCCAAGCTTTTCTGCTTTTTCTTATGTGGGTTTCTCAAGGGGGTGAGAAAAAGTCACGTTCTTGCACATTTATTTTATAGGAAAATGCTACGGTCCCATTACGGAATCATTCGGTTGGAGTTTGTAACTGTTAGATCATCATGTAACCGTCGGATATAGTTGATCTAAGGGATACAAACTCCGACGGAATGGTTTCGTAATGGGATCGTAGCATCTCTCTATTTTATATTAGCTTCTTATTTTTCACCTCTTTGAGCTACAGTACAGTGTACATGATCTTCAAAGTTCTGTGTTTTGCATTTATGATTGTTAATGTTGTAAGTTTTATTACATAGTGTGCTTGGATCCTGAGAAGTTCAAGGAATTCAAGCTCGTCAAGAAAACACAACTCAGCCATAATGTGGCGAAATTCAAGTTTGCCCTTCCTACACCCATTTCTGTCTTGGGCCTTCCTATTGGACAACACATAAGTTGCAGGTTAATTTGATCAGCTAATTGCTATATTCATGATATCGACATTTGTTTCCCCCGTTATTTGGTTGGCATAGCATATCGTTTCAGGTTTATATTTATATTTTGCAGGGGTAAGGACAGTCAAGGTGAAGATGTTATTAAGCCATACACTCCAACGACCTTGGATTCTGATGTTGGATATTTCGAGTTAGTAATAAAGGTGCTTAATTATTTAGTGCCATCCATTTATTTGGGTGTGCCTCTGGCAAATGAAATTATTACCTTTTTTTTTTTTTGAAGTTTCATTTGTGTGTTTTATGATTTATACAATGATAGATGTATCCGCAAGGAAGAATGTCTCATCATTTCAGAGAGATGCGTGAAGGTGATTATTTGTCTGTGAAAGGACCAAAGGTACAATTTCCATTTTCTTTTCTGTAATTTATTGTTTTATTATGCAATTTCCATGAATATTATCAGTATTCAAACGATTATGTTGTCAATGTAGGGTAACTTCTACTGAGTTAATTCGGTTTTTCGCCCAAGTGGCGTCATTTTTTTCAACTCTTGATTTGTTTGTTTGTTATGTTAAATCGTATTCCATCTTCTTTGTCAATATTAGGGTCGTTTTAAGTATCGACCAGGGCAAGTGAGGGCATTCGGGATGCTTGC